CTTAACCCTAACCCCTAAACCCTGAACCTAACCTCAAACCCCTCAACCCCTAGAATTTCCCTAAACCCCTAAAACCTCCTAAGCTCCGCTTTCAGGTTCCGACAAGATGCTCTCCGCCCTGCGAGGGGACCTGGCCACCTTGCAGGCTCAGGCCGCGGTTCTCGGGGCTCTCTCGAGAGACGATGCGGGGTTTATAGGGGTTTATAGGGGTTTAGGGGTTCCTTTAAAGGTTACTGTAGGGATCCCAGGCTTCCTTTAAAGGGTACTCTGGGGTTTAGGGTTTAGGGGTTTAGGGGTTTCAGGGGGGTTTAGGGGGGTTTAGGGGTTTAGGGGGTTTGAGGGTTTGAGGGTTTAGGGGTTTAGAGGTTTAGGGTGTAGGGGTTAGGCGTTTAGGGGTTTAGGTTCAGGGGTTTAGGGTTCAGGGGTTTAGGGGTTTAGGGTTTAGGGCGGGGGGAGGTGCCTGCAAGTGTCCATCACACGAGGAGAAGGGGCCCGAAACCCTAAACCCTAAGTGTAGATGTTCTCTTAATCTAATACCCCATAAACCCTAAACCCTAAACCCTAAACCCTGAACCCTGAACCCTGAACCCTAGACCCCTAAACCCTAAACCCTAAACCTTAAACCCTGAACCCTAGACCCCCTGCAACGGCTTCGAGCCTATCTGCCCGAAGGCCCGACGATGATGTAAGCTTCGCAGGGTACGTACTTGCAGCTTCATGTGGTCTACTTAAAGGATCATGGGACTTGGTAAGTAGGGTTATAATTTAAGGTAACTATACTTATATTTACTTATAACCCCAATTAAGGGACTTATAACCTGACTTACTAAGTCCCATGATCCTCCAAGTATCCCTACACCCTAGACCCTAAACCCTAAACCCTACGTTTTGTGATACCTCAAAACCGAAAGCCCACAGTCCTTCTTCACCTAAATAATTACCCATACTCTTTTGGGGGGTTTTAGGGTTTAGGGTTTAGGGTTTAGGGTTTAGGGTTCCCTTGTATATTTATACCATAATGGGCCCCAAAACCCTATTCCAATTATTAAGGCCCCTACAGCAACACCCAACAACCAAACCCCGAAAATCGAAAGCCCCCCCAGCAGCCCAAACCATGCGGAAGTCCCCGCCTGATGCAGGGCAACGCCATGGCGGTCGCCACGGAGAAGTCTTCCAACACACAAGAGGCTCACGATGCTTAACCAACAGATCATATTGTGGAAGCCTAAGCCATTGCCAAATATATTTCCTTGGGGTTCCTTAGTATGACTATATTTTAACAGACCCCAAAGCTCTTTCTGCTAAAGCGCGTGATCCTTGCAGTCGTTTGATCAAAACTGACATAGATTAGAGGATAACAGGGATCTCTTAGAGACTGCTGTCCTTCACTTTGTTTAGCTATCTGGTTTCCAGCGGCTTACCTGAACACCTTAGAACTGATGGAGAAGCCCGAACAAGCACCGATAGTTTCCATTGCTGGGTTCCTGATTCTTACCAGAATAAAACCCCAAGCCCTGTTCGGATCATTCAGGCCCCTTTAAAACCTAAACCCTACATGCTAAATCCTAAACCCAAAACCTAACCCCATTTTTGCGTGGGGTACCCTATTACATCGCTCCGCAGACCTGGAGCGGAGGGTGTGGGGCTCCTGGCTTATGGAGGTCTACGGTTGAGGGGTTTGGGGTTTAGGGTTTAGGGTTTAGGGTTTAGGGTTTAGGGTTTAGGGTTTAGGGTTTAGGGTTTAGGGTTTAGGGTTTAGGGTTTAGGGTTTAGGGTTGTAGTAGTAGTAGTAGTAGTAGT